GTACAAGAAAACATAAAATCTCTTTGTAATTAGGGAAAGGAAGGAAATTTCTCCAAGACAAACATCAACTAAAGTAACAAATTTCTGTTCATCCAAAGACACGAGAAGTAATGGCTGCAACAATGTTAAAAGGCTGAGCTAAAAAAAAGTGTGGTGCGTGTGTGGTCAAATGAAGATGTAGTCAAATGACTCTATGTCAAGGGCATATGCGGTCATCAGAGTATTCTTCCAACTTGTCTGCAGCTTTGTGATTTTTCAAAATAAAATGTTTGCAGAAAAAATTTTAAAGAAAAAAAAATACCACAGAAACAGTGAAGACATATCACAAATTGGGAATTTAAACAATTCCAAGATACATATATTTTTTTCACACTTTAAAGTTTCTAAAATTGGGATACATATGATAGCATGCAATAATTTAACAGTATTTTTTTTTTTGGTGGTTCATGAAGTAATGTTGTGTCAGATTTGATAGGATGAAGTATGTGCCACACATGTAACAAAGGATCAGTTTTTACAATACATGAAGAAACCCTATAAATCAAGAAAAAAGACATACAGCCTAATAAAAGCTTCACAACACCGACTTTAGCAATGATTTCTTGAATATGATGCCAAAGGCACAGGCAACAAAAGAAAAAGACAAACTAGACCTCATGAAAAAAAAAAATTTTTTTTTAAATGCAATAAAAGATACTATCAGTGGAGTAAAAAGGCAACCCATAGAATGAGAGAAAATATTTGTAAATCATATATCTGGTAAGGGATTAATATCCAGAATATATACAGAACTCCTAAAATCCAACTACAAAAAAACAACCCAATTCAAAAATGAGCAAAGGAGTTGAACAGACATCTTTCTAAAGAAGACATCAAATGGCCAATAAGTATGAAATGTCCAGCATCACTAATCATTAGGGAAATGTGAGTCAAAACCACAATGAGACACCACCTCACACCCATTAGGATGGCTCCTATCAACAAAACAAAACAAAAATCAGAAAATAATAAGTGTTGGTGAGGAGGTAAAGTTGGATGCCTGGTGTGTTGCTGGTGGGAATATAAAATGCTGCAGCCATTGTGAAAAACAATATGGTGGTCTCTCAAAAAATTAATTATAGGATTACCACATGGTCCAGCAATTCCACTTCTGGGCATATACCCAAAAGAATTAAAAGCAGAGTAGGGTCTCAAAGATATCTGTACACCCATGTTCGTGGCAACATTTTTCACAAGAACTAGACCAGGGAAGCAATGTAAGTGTTCACTGATGGGTGAATAGATCAGCAAAATGTAGTTCATCCGTACAATGAATGGAATATTATTTAGCCTTAAAAAGGACAGTATGACACCTGCTACAACATGGATGAATCTTGAGCACACTATGCTCAGTGAAATAAACCAGTCACTAAAAGACAAATACTGTATGATCCCATTCATATGAGGTCCCTAGAGGAGTCAGATTCATAAAGACAAAGTAGTGGGCGCTAGGGGAGGGGAATGGGAGTTAGTGTTTAACAGAGACAGTTTCAGTTTTGCAAAATGAGAAAGTTCTGTAGACTGTGGTGATGGCCACACAACATTGTGAATGGACTTAACATCACTGACCTGTACAGTTAAAATGGTAAATTTTATGTGTATCATGCCACAATAAGACATTAAAAAAAAAAAAAAAAGACATACAGCCCAAAAGAAAAGTGGGCAACAATATGAACAAAGTTTTGACAGAAGAGGAAATGCAAATCATGAATAAAAAGGAGAAGATGCTCAGCCTCCCCGGTAATCAGAAAAATGCACTTTATGACCACAGAGGGCCACCTGAAACTAATATAAAATAATATTGAATGTCAAAAGAAAAATAAGACCACAGAAGATATCATTCTATACTGTTAGACTGGTGCCATGGATCTCGATTCATTTAAACCATACTGTCCCCTCGGGAGGTCAATATAGTCACCACCTGACTTTATAAGCAGGGAGGCCAAGCCCCTTCCCCACCTTGTGACCTCACCCATGCCCACCTGCCTGGGACTCAGTGGGCAGCCTGAGCCCCAAGTCCATGCTCTGGACCCCAGGCCGCATGGCTGGTGGACATGCTGGGAGAACTGCCCTAAAAACGCTGAGGCACCGTCTCATAAAGGTGAACTGTACTCATAGTCCCCAAGTTTGTGCCCAAAAGAAATGCCTGCCCATGTGTACGAGGAAACATGTACAAGAATGTTCCCTGTAGTAACTGTGAAAAAGTTAAAATCTAGGAACCACCTAAACATCCATCACAGGAGAACGGGCAAACAAACAAGTGGAGTCTCACTTCATAAATGGTGACAAGAGATGAACTAAAGACACCCAGGCCAACATGACCTAGTTTGGAAACAATATCAAAAAGACAGAAAAGCACAGCTGGAAGATGACACGTTACAAAACTGAACAATGAATTCTTTAGGGACAGAAATGTGATGAAATGGGTTTTTTTTAAGGCAAAGAAATGATACACAAAGTTTGAGAAACTAGTTGGGGCTGGGAGTGGGGGGCAAGACAGTGGGCTGGGAAGGAGCGCCAGGGACACGCAGGAGTGCTGGGAATGTTCCCGTTCTTCTTGGGGAGGTGGGTTCATGGCTGTTTACGTTTTTATTTTGCTTTGTATATCAAATATTATATAATTTAAAAAATAGAAAAAGAGGGAGAATCGGTGAAGATAAAGCTCAAGGAAGCAACAGGGCCACGTGAGTCACAGTGAGGATTTTGGTCTTTATCTAAAAACCATTAGAGTCTGGTGTCTGGCAGAGAAGTGACGTGATCCAAATTATGTTTTTAAAAGACCAAAGAATAGAAAATGTCGAAAGAAAAATGAGAAAAAAAAATTGCAACTCTTATCATATACAAAGGCTAATTTCCTTAATATATAAAGAGCTCCTACAAATCAATAAATGGGTCCACAACCCAGGAGAAAACTGGGCAAAAGAACAGAATTTTTCTGGAAGCAAAATAAAATTGCTCCTCAGCATATGAAAAAATGTGCAACCTCACTTATATTCTCACCCATCAAATCACCCCAGATGAAAAAGTGTGAGGAAACACACTGGAGAGGGTGTGGGGAAACAGGCATGTTCATATATCTTTTCTTAAAGGGCAATTTACAACATTATCAAATTACAAATGCACTTTGTTGCACAAGGCCACAGACACAAAGCTATTCCCATATAATACTGTTACAGTACAACATGGTTTTGTGTGACAATTTAATAGCAAAAGAGTTAGACACCCATAAATAGTGGCCTGGTTAAATAATCATAGGACATCTATAAAATGAGATACCATGTAACTGTCACAAGAAATGGTATCGTATGTAGCATCAACGGACAACCTCCAATATTCCAATATTTATTGTTTTTAAGGGATAAAGGCAAGGTGTAGAGACATATAGACTACTGTTTTATGTAAATAAGGAAAAGTGGCACTTAGGATTCCTCTGGGGAGGACAACCAGTATGGAATGGTGATTTTCACTCTCAAGTCTCTTGTACTTTACAAATTTTGTACCATTTACTTATGTCTTCCCACAAATTAAAATACGTAAATATTAAATCACTGTGGCTGCTAGGTAGAGGACAGACTGGAGGCGAACAGAGGTGCCCATGTCTGTCAGAGATAGTGAGACCAAATGTCTTCTCATCCTCGAGGGAGGCTGAAACCCATGGAGACCATGGGGCCCAGGGAGTCCCCTCCTTTACCTACTATGTGCCGGTAGAACAAGCCACTTAAACCCCACATTCATTGGCTTACACAAAGGAGTGACAGAGGTGTCTACCCCACACCCCTGATTCAGGTACCTGGCTCCAGGCCCAGCTCAAGGATCTCTTCAGGCACCACCTGCACCAGCATGGCCAGGAGCAGGAAGAGGAAGGCGAAGGTGAGGCAGACAGAGCGCTCACCCCCGTCCTCGGCACTGAAGTACAGCCGGGTCACCGTCAGGAACACCTTGCTGGGGGCAGAGCTAAGGAGGTCTCCAGTGCCAGGGGTGCCCCTACCCATTCCACCAGTCCCACCCTAAGTCCAGAGCACAAACACCAGAGTTCAGGTTTGGGGTCCTAGGGAGCAGAAGAGTGACCGAGGAGAAGAGTGAACTCTGAACAAGCTGAGACACAAAGTGAGAATGCTGTTCACGCCTGTGTTAGCAGCATGGGGTCGTGCACGTGGCAGGCATGCCTAGCACAGGACTCCAAGCTTGGTTCATCGCACTACCTGTGGCCAGTTAGAAATGGCCACAAAGCCAGTGTCTTCAGGAGGTCCTGCCTTCCCGACCCCCCTAGCCTCCTGGCTGCATTCACAGCACGTTCCTCTGAGAAGCGTCAGTTACAAAGGCTGGATCTCCCATCTGCCTTGAAGAGCCTTTTGGGAATAGTGTGGATCCTAAGATGGGCTTCTGATCTTCCCAAGAACACTCCACAAGGACATTTTCTCCTACTTGGGTCCCCAAGGGCACAGGTTCAGCTATGCTTTCTGTACAGCTTAATAAAAAAAATTGCAGAGGGACATCTTCCCAGCCTCTGCACCTGGGCTGGCCTGATGACTTGCTTTGACTGAAAGGATGGACAGGGATGAGATGGGCTGGCTTGGACAAGGCCTCAGGAGGCCTGCAGCACCCCATCTTCCTTGTTGGCTTTCCGTGGCTGCAATGAAGAAGTTTGGCCCAGTCTGCTGGAAGCAAGGGACTACTGGGAGCAGAGATGAGGCCACTCAGCTGGGCCTGGCCCACGAAAGCAAATGAAATAGCAACTGCTTTACTCCACTAAGTTTTGGGAGGTTTGTGGCACAACAGTCAATAACTAATTGCCAGTTTAGGGGGGACAGGTAGCCTCAGTCAGGCTCCCACATGCCTCCCACCTGCCCCCCACCCACCC